TTAATTTTGAACCAACCTCCAGATTACAGGAAAATTAAAAGTATATTATCACTAATTTTTTCCCTGAACCATTTGGAAGAAGTTGTTGAAATGATGCCTCAGTACTAAAATGCTTTAGTGTGTATTTCCTGTAATCAAGGGCATTTTGCTACACATAAGCACATTCAATATTCAAGACCAAGAAATCAGGAAATTAACCTTTACACATTGTTATCATCTAATCCTCAAATCTATTCAAGTTTGTCAAGTGTCCACAAATGTGCTTTTTAAAGCAAAAGGATCTACAATAGTTCAGAATCTAGTGTTGCATTGCAATGTCATGTGTAGTCTCCTTCAATCTGGAACAGTTCCTCAGCCTTTCCTTAATTTCCATAATTTAGATACTTTTGAAGATTAAAGGCCAGTTATTTGGTATGATGCCTTTCCATTTGGGTCTGTCAAATGTTTCCTCATGATTAGATTCTACAATATGCATCTTTGACAGGGATATCGCAGAAGTGATGTCATGTTTTCATTGCATCACACCGGGAACGCATGATTTCTATTTGCTCCATTACCAATGATGTAATCTTTGATCACTTGGACTAAAGTGGTGTTTGTCAGACTTCTCCATTAGGGGACACTTGAGAATGTAAATATAATTGTCTTTATCAGATAGTCGATTGAGTAATTAATTAATTAATTAATTTCAAGTATGGCTCCATGGTTACCTATTTTATCTAATGGGTTAATATCTGTTATTATTATGTTGATCTTCCAGTTGATACCATTTGTGGCCAGTGGAAGACCCTTCAAGTAGCTTCTGTGACCTTCTGATATGCTCTCCTACTCCTTCCTTCCTTTCTGGCACAAGACCCTCCAGGTATATCTTATGCTTTTCCTATTCTAGACCTGGAATCAGCCATTGCTTCAAGGAGCCCTGGTTCCTTTTTTCTGGAAAATGGTATTAGAAACCAAGGTCTAAGCACTGTATGCACTTATTGTCATTGAGGTCTTGCTGCTTTCAGGTCTTTTCAGTGGATATAGCTAATGGATGTATATGTATTATACATATAATGTTATACATATATTATACATACAATACATATACTTACATTTATACTGGGGATGCCAAAAAAAATGTATACCCATGACTTGTACTCATCTTTAGCTATTGGCATATATTGAGTTACAATTGTAATACAGTTTTTTTCCTTTCTTAAAATGTGTACACATTTTTTGAGCACCCTCTGTATTTATTTCTATATCCATCTTTATGAATTGAACACAATGAATTCCCATTGATAACTTTCAATTCCAATATAATATAACAGGGTTTATTCTAGTTTTATTTCTTAACATAATAGTAACTCCCTTCTCCAGCAATAAGAAACTTGACTCCTATTATTTTTAATATATGTGCTTATTTGGTCACTGCCCTCACCCCCACCCCCCAACCCCTACCACTACTAATCTCTCACTGCCATCTCCAATGCTGTACCCACAGGATATCTTCATCACTCTGCCCATGTCTGGCACCCTGCATCAGGCTACCCCACATTACAGGAACCCTTCTCAGCCCCTGCCTGGCTCCAACACTCCACCCTGGCAGGCTGCCAACAACAATGGGACATCTCTTCACGCTGCCTGTGTTCTGACATCCAGTGTTGGGTTACTGCTTCTACCCTCATATACAATCCCTGTGCCTCCTGTTGCTTAGCCTATTCAGGGTCTCTGACTTCCATGCCAGGCCACCCTCTTTCCACTGGGGATGCCCTTCTCACCCAGCCTAGGCTCTGACAACCCACACTGGACTACTGCCGACCCCTCACCTGCTGGCACAGATGCTCAATTGCTTGGCTCCAACTAATGGCTTTTTAGATACATTTGTTCAGGAAGGGAGAGAGAAAGCCTACAAAGGAAAGGGAGGGAAGAAAAGGGAAAGGAAAGGGAAAAGAAAGAAGTACAGTGTGAGGGAGAGCAAGTGCTATTCTATTATTCTATCATTTATTTAACAGGAACAAAGAAATTATCAATACAAGTCATAACATTTCAACAATGGAGAGGCCTGGTTTATCTATTGAATTAAGGCCATATGGAATAGTCCTTTATCATCTATCTATAGATATAGATAGATGATATAGATATAGAGATCTATAGAGATAGAGATGATAGAGATAGAGATAGAGACAGAGATAGAGATAGAGATAGATACAGATATAGACGCAGACACACATACGCACCAAAACACCCAATAAGAAGACTGAGTAGACCAGGGTTAAGGCTGGTAACAAGCATTCCTCTCTTTGTAGTGCACAGTAGGGTTATATCACCCCCTACCCTCCACTCTTCCTGAAGTTAGGCTCAACTTCAAGTCATGATTGTATGACTATCTTTGACAATGACATGTCATTGGCAATGACATAAATCACTTCTGGATGGTAGAATTTAATGCTGGTGCTTTTAAATCAGCAGACATACTCTCCAATTATCATCTTCCACTGGCATGGGGATTATAAAGTAGGTCTTCAAATGGAGGTACAATGCTGAGACATTTTATGGCAGACAGACTGTCCTGGAAAGTTACTTAACATTAGCAAAATTCCCACAGGGAAGAAATAATTGTTCTTGTAAGTTGCTGAACTTCTGAGCTATCTGTAACAAAACTTAGACTGTCCTTATTAATATAAGAGGTTATATAATCTTCATATAATGTCTAATGGTGAAGCTCTGACTTACATAAACAAAAATATAGGGTACAGCATTTATTTTGTAAATCCAATAAACACTTTGCATATGAGTTTGTCTGAAAGTTATTTCACCATAAAGTCGTATAATTTCATGTCAAAAAACCTTCAATATATAATTTTTCTAATGTAATCTTTTCCCATAAGATTATCACAGTAATTTTCTGATCCACAGAAAATTAAAAACATTTATGACACATACAAAACACTACCTCTTGGGGAATAACAGAAAAACCTACTTTTACACAGAATCATAAAGAGTTATCTAATTGCAGAGAAACATATTTTAAACTTTGTGCAAAGATAGTTCCTCAACTATCTTAAAACTAGCTCAGAATTATAAAAGGTTGATTTTGAGGAACAGAAAACATGTGCCAGTGTCCAGCAAATAATAGGTATTAAATATGTATGAATTTTTTGAAAGACAGATTCTTTGTTAACTATTTCATATAATTACACCAATTTTTGGATCTGTTATTACCAAAGACAAATATAAGCTGATTCTCCATTGACAGTTTCCACTATGGTTTCCAATTAAAATTATGTTTTGAATTCATGCCTTTATGATTTGCTATATAAACATCTATAATTTCCCAGCATGGCTTGCTTATGCTGCTGCTACTAGACTTAATTAAAAATTATTGAAGTCTCACCCTTTCAAACTAAGTGGATGATACATATCAAAGAGCAATCATAAATTCCTGCCTTTAAAGCATTGCATGACCTTTCAGTGTGAAGCATCATGTCTGTAGAAATAATGATCTGGTGAGTTCTGCAAGCATGGCAAAAATCTCTGCCGTGTGACTCACAGGGCGAAAAGTCACTCATTACTAGTCACACAGCAAGTATCTGCAGAGTATAATGGATTTACAGGAAGCAGGGTGACCACAGATGTAATTTTAATGAAGTTCAAGACATAATCTGAGCTGATAGAGGTTGAAGTCTGAATATAATCTATACAAGGTTAGAGTTATTGTTTGACAGTATAAGGAATGTAATTTTCTCTCTAAAAGCTTCTATATTTTGATTAGGCCCACAAATACACCTTTTTTTTATTTTGTAACAAATAGTTAAATTTACATTAAGGTGACAGAAAAAAAGTTTTTGTACACTTTAAAGAAAATTCAAAGTTTTCCCATATGTTGACTGTTTTAAATATGTTAAATTTTTCTCTCATGTCTTAAAGCAAAGGTAATTATGTTTTTGCATAGATATTACATACACAGCAAGTTTGCTCAAATAAGAATACTCTAAGGTTTCTGTCACTAAAATGTTTTATAAATAGAAAGATGAAACAGGCTACCTGAAAACTCCTCCAAAATTGATTATTTGTGGATATACATAGAGAAACACATGCTTATTACAAACAGAAGTCATTATTTATCATGCAATTGAAGAGGAGACTCATTCAGCTTGATAATATTTAAATAACATATACCTATATATTTTTGAGACAGAACATGCTTTAATGTGACAGAACTTGATTTACTTCTGTTTTTCTTTCTCCTGTGTTATTAATATTTTCCAGAATTATAAGATTAAGTATGACACTGTATCACCTAGTCTCACAGAGGCCAAATTAGCATTTGGATATAAGCTTGAGAGACAATTACCAAGAGCCTTGTATTTCTCCACAATAAAGCTAGCACAACTGAGGTATGACTAGATGACAAAACATGTGTTATGCACCTAACAGGGTGAACCCATGGAAGAGTAACATATTTTAAAAATGAACACAATCTAGGTATGAAAATTCTGGATCTCAGAGTTTACGGTCAGAAACCTGAATGGTAGAAAACCCATGTAAAATCCAGTCAAGCAATAGTCATGCTGTTGTTTATTTTTCAATCAACTTTATTACTGAATATATACACCTATGATAGGATGTGATTTCAAGGAGAAAAAAATGACTGCTAAAATAGAGAAAAAACAATGAAATATGACATCTAGAGTTTTAGGAGTCATTTTCAGACCTTTTCAAAGGTTTAACACTTTGAACTGGAGTGAAATTAAATTATTAGGAGGGGAGAAAAGGCAAAGTGAGCTCACTTTTAAAAAATCTTGTTCTATTATTGAAGATCTGTTTTTAAGATTAATTTTGGGGAACAGAAGCAAGGTGCCCAACATGTCAACAGACTTTAAATCTCCTTGGGTTGCCGGATTTCTGGGAGGTGATTTTTCTAGAACATCATCATATCCAGGCAAGACAAAGAAAATGCACACCAACTTCTGAAAAGAACATATGTCTCTTCCAAAGCTCATGCATGACCTTACCTTCCTCACCCGCATAGGCAAGAATGGACCGTGCTCGTATCTGTTTCCCTTCTGTGGTTTTTCCCGAGCAGGTGTGTGAGCAGGAGGACCACGCAGACCACATGCTGAGCACACAGTCCCTTGGGCACGGGGCATAACAGGCCACGGGGATGGGGAAGATGGCATCTCTGCACAGCTGTCTGTCAACTTCTTCTCCTGGGAAAGACATCATCACCAACAATCTATCATTTTTCAATACACGTAAAATGAGTGGTTGAAACCAGATGGGCATCAAGATAAATTAGGTTATTTCCTTTTTGTTCTTAGTTAAAAATAATAGCCAGAAGTGTGACTGCCTACTACAGTCAGATGTTAAAAGAACACCACAAAAAATACATATTTATGTATTTTATATATATAATATATATATATATAATATATATATATGAAGCCTCATTTACGGATGGATATATCTATCTATCTATCTATCTATCTACCTATCTATCTATCTAGTCTAGATATGTCTATATATCTCTCTGTATACCTATATCTATCTAGCCTTTTTGATAGTGCATCATTAAAAGTATTTTTATGCTGCAGATACCTGCCCTGCAAGTAATTTTTATACTTAAAATATTATACTTGTAATAAGGAGCATCAATGTAATATGTTCTCCTCTTTATGTCTTGTTATTACAAATAATGACTCTATCCATAGCCTGTACCATATGTTTTCATGAGCCAATTCATGGTCATCTCTATTTGTAAACTCTCTGTGTCTCCTAGAAAATTTAATTTTGTGCAATTAGCAAACTTTTTCTTTCATTAAAAAAATTTGCTTGTTAGAAATAACCAGGAAATGTAAATGATAAGATAGCATTATTAAACCATTGTTTAAGGTGGTCCCATTGGGAGAGGAGAAAAATGACAAGGTAAGGGAATGGCAGAAGGAAGATGGTGTCACTTAAGTGCTTAAAACTCTTCAGGAGTCTCCTATTGCTGTTAAGATAGAGACCAGATTTCTCAGAAGTTTACAATACTTTCAATGACCTGGCTATTGATTCCGTTCCTAGTTTCATCTCACTACACTTCCTTCCATGCCCTTGAAGCTCTAGAGACTGGCGTCCATTAAGTATTTGTCGAACGAACAAAATGGGATATACAAAGGCCAATTAGAAAGAAAATATTGGTGTTGTGAATAAATGCCAAAGATAACCCAAGGAATTACAAATAAATGACCAAAAGAGTGTATGAAAAAAAGTTTGAATTCTGTGGCTTAGTTGGTTAATGTAAGGTGCTAAGGAGGTCAGTGCAACAAAGTGAAATTACACAAACAAGTGAAAATTAATTGGCTGTTTTGCCACAGAATACAACCATAATTCTGGATGAATATGAGGTGTGACAATTAAGTCCGCAAACCTGTTGCAACGATGACCCTAACGATTTTTGATATCAGAGGGATTATTCATTATGAATTTGTACCAACTGGACAAACAGTTAACCAAGTTTACTATTTGGAAGTGCTGAAAAGGCTGTGTGAAAAAGTTAGACTACCTGAACCTTTTGCCAATTCATGGCTCTTGCAAAACGACAATGCACCAGCTCACACGGCACTGTCTGTGAGGGAGTTTTTAGCCCGGAAACAAATAACTATTGGAACACCCTCTCTACTCAACCTGATCTGGCCCCCAATGACTTCTTGCTTTACCCGAAGATAAAGGAAATGTTGAGAGGAAGACATTTTGATGACATTCAGGACATCAAGGGTAATATGACAACAGCCCTGATGGCCACTCCAGAAAAAGAGTTCCAAAATTGCTTTGAAGGATGGACTAGGTGCTGGCATCAGTGCATAGCTTCCCAAGGGGAGTACTTCGAAGGTGACCATAGGGATATTCAGCAATGAGGTGTGTAGCGCTTTTTCTAGGATTAAGTTCCCGAACTCGAACTGTGTATGTCAGAAATGTGTGCCTTGGGGCAATAGGCATTCGGGTGATGAAGGGTGATTAATGGTGCCATTCTTCACTTCTATTAGCCAAACAACTCAAAGCTGTTTCTCACTGATGGAAGGTTAGGAGCACCATTTTAATGTACAGTCCTTTATTCATATATTTGAAAAACAAGACAGAAAATCAGAGGTCAATTGGAAACGCTCTAACACATTAATGGCTACTAGTTTTCAGGGCCTTCAATCACTGGACAAAACCAGAAGTCAGTTGGAATGTACTTAACACGTTCACAGGCCTTAAATTATTAGGCATGCTCACTACTAAACCCCACTAGAATGACAATTGAGTCATCATTATATCATTCACTCTTTCTTACTTACTTGGATCTGTGGGATCTCTCTTAATTCTGTTTTCATTGGCTTTAGAGTTTGGCTTATATCCCAGTAAAACAATATGATAGACTGTGGATTTATAGTTACATAGGTATAGTAAAAAACTCATTATAATACAAGGCAATTAATATTTTACAGTTGACATAATAATGATGACTATTTTTCCTACTAGAATTTTTTTCTTAGTGCAAGGACGGGCCTGCATATGCTTTATTTCCTTCATTGCTATATTTTATTTTTCCAGCTGCTCTCTTTCACGTTCATTTCCAATATTCTGTGGAAAGTAAAGCAAGTTTGGAGCTACAGTTTATAGTAAACTAGGAATTATAGTTTTATGTCTTCTCTAATAGTTACTTAATCATTTCTACTCAGAAAATTTTAATTTATTCTGCAGTAATTGAGAGTGGTGTGCTGTTGTGTGTGCTATTGGGTTAATTTGCATGGCATGCGTGATATATTTCTGTTTCTTGTAGTGTAAACCTAAGGGATGTACACTTTGGAACTGTCTTAATTTTTGAAAAATTTTTTTTTAACCTATGTCCCATATCTTATGTTAGTTCTTTATATCTTCTCTTGCTTGGTCAGGTGTATTTTCCTGTAGGCACATTTCTTCTAGAGTGCACCTTAACTCTCTGTGGAGCTGTTAGAACCCAGCTTGGATCCAACTTCTAAGATTTCCTTAAGTTTAAGCTTTTACTGCACTCCCCCCAACTAAGTCAAGTGTGACCTTGTCCCTGTTTGCCCCTCTGATTGCTCCCACTGCTGTCTTGCATCCAAATAATGACATTTTGTTATAGCCACACAATGGCGTTTTCCGTATCGCCTACAGACCAATCTCCTTATTGCCTCGGGGCCTTTGCATTCTCTCTTTACTTTGTATGAACATTTCAGATCATCATACAGCAGACTGCTTCTCAACATTTGGGCTTCAGTTCAATTGTCTCCTTCCTAGAGGACTCTTAATTGAGCGTACACAATCTCACAATAACTTCATTTGTTTGTGTTATAGTTTTAATCACTACTAGAAACTATTTGGATCAATTGTTTGCAGGTTTATTGTCTGATCCTATCATTATATGAAAAGCCCAATGAGGGCATGATTCTTATCTGTCTGGTTCATTATCTTATACTTAGAACCTAGAACAGTGCCTGGCACATAGTAGACACTAAATGATTTTCTGCTAAGTGCATGGATTAATACATTATAAGCTGTTGTGACAGGAAACAGAATGTTGGATTAGACAAACATGGTTTCTTAAACCGCCACACAGGCAAGTGCTCTAGGATTCTGCTAAAGTATAATCAGTGGACAGGCAGCTCATGCATCAGGAGTTTGCTAGAAATGCAGTCTCCAGACCCCACCCACTGAGTCATAACTTGCATTTTAAAAAGATTCCTAGGTGATTCATAAGCACATGAAATCTGAAAATAATTGCTCTAGGATTTTTCTGCCTTTTTCCTCTTGTGGTTTGAATAGAACCAGACTGCCTCTTGAAAGGGCAACTGTATAAAACAAATTCATCTGGATTTCATGCCAAACACCATTCATTCCTCTGTGGGACTTCCTTTTATATTTCTCTTTATACAGAGTATACTTGGATGAGAGCATTCATTTAATGAATAGTTGCTGATTGCCTATCTGTTGTCAGGCACTGTACTTTGAATTTGTATACCTCATCTCACCTAAGGTCACAATAACTTTTTTTTTTGAGGTATAATCGACATGTAATATTAGCTTCAGATAGACAATATAGTGATTCAATATTTGTATGTATTGCAAAATGCACATTAAGTCCAGTTAACATCTGTCCCCATACATAGTTTTAAACTGTTCTCCTTGTGATGAGGATTTTTAAGATATACTCTCTTAGCAATTTTCAAATATGCAATATTGTTAACTATAGTCACATTGCTGTGTAATACAACCCCGTGACTTATTTATTTGATAACTGAAAGCTTGTAGCTTTTACAACAACCATCAGACATAGGTGCTAATAGCTCTTTTTTACTTTAAAGAATATTGAAACTCAGCAAGTTTCAGTTTACTGTCTCAAATAGCAGGAGTTTGACTAAAGAAGCAGAGATTTGAATTGAGTTCTAAACAATTCCCTAATTTACTTTTGAACCGGTGTGGTGGGCGGGAGAAATCAAGATGTCAAGGAAGTATATAATGGATGAGCCTTTAACTACAAAGAAGTCAAGAAACTGTCACCCTTAGTTGTTTCTCAAGAGACAGTGATGTATGGTCGCAGCCACACACTGTCTCAACTACAAAGAGTATGCATTGTTAACATGTCCGGTGTTACATAGTTTGGATTACAGCCATTGAACAAACAGCAACAGACACAAAAATGTGGAATCATTCAGATCTTTGACTTTGCTTTCAATGGATGCTTTAATCAACTCAGCTAATTGAACACTAACTAACTGGAACTATTAGGAGCTGTGTTCTCGTAAGCTAAATCTCTAGCATTCCAAGGCACCAGTCATTTGGGAAACATTAGGAAAAAAAATATTGGGTTTATATCTATCACAGGAAATTCCAAAACTTGTCATCTCCAGTTATTTTCAGGGACTGTTACTTCTATCTTACTTTTTATATAAAAATGGACTCTGGAAATAAGGTCTTTCTTCATGAGATCTGCAGAAATTAATTCCATCACTCTTCCTCATATTAAAACTCATTTTGATTGATAAACATTATTTTAATTAGCTAAGGACTCTTTTGCATTATGTCAGAGAATATATAGCAGTAAATCAAACATGTACATATGAAAATATCAGGTTAACTGCTACTCTTTCCATATAGAGAAATGGAAATTTGCTGTTTAGCCCTCTGGAAATCCCACTTTTCCATATCAGCTGCCTTACTATTA